GGGGGGGGGGTGCAGAGAATGGTTTCAACGTCGGGGTTTTCATGCCGTGGCAATGACTGTGTAAACCTGATCGTTGGAATGTACTGAAAAGAGGGTAGTGCATGCAGCTTGAGGGGTGATCACTGAAGGTCTGCTAGTCTACCACTCAAGACGCCTTGTACGAGCCTGAGAGTTGCCACCACCCTGTCGCGGGCCGCCCTACTGGCGTCCAAAGTGGAGATAGCTATTATGCATACAGTTGAGGCCCGCACTTAAGAACCTCCTATTTTGAGCGAGGCTCAGTTTTTATTGGCTGCCCAACTCGAGCACGTGTTCTTGTTGGCCATGTTCTTATTTCGCCGTCCCATTTTTCTCCAGCGAAATGTTCTTGTTCTTATTTCAACACCAATTGGCCCTGTTGGCGTACGTTGTATGACGACGTACTTTGTTGGCGGCTGTCAACTGTACTCGGCGGAGTGTTTATAATGTTTAGCATGAGGAACAATGCTGGTGTTTGGTACAAGAATACACCAAGGCATGCAGCAGAAACTGTCAACCATCTTGGTCCACAAGGGTGACGTTGGCCCTGCGTATCCTCCCCGATCTACTAATGCTCTCAAGCAAAACCCAGGAGCCTACCGCCGCATCCAGATCTCCGGTGTACTTGTCTAAGGGCAGCTTCATCTTGCGCGTACTCTGGTCTAGCTCCAGCTGCACACAGTGGTCGTACGGGTGGCGAGTGTCCTGCTGAGGTTGCTGAATGATCAACCCTCCAAACCACCCCATCCCCAGCCTAACGAGGACTCCACGTCGCAAAAGCAAAAACTGTCAAGAGCAACGGGTTTAACTGCTTGAATGCGAAAGCCTGTCGGGACTCCATTCCTTGTGTCTCGTCCTCCGGGTCTTGTGGGTCCATGCTGTCGTCGTCGTCGAGAAGAGCTAGCTCATCGGTCTGGGTTTGAGACGTGCCTGCGAACGGAGCACCGTGAAACACCACAAGAAGTACGATGTCACGGCCGAAACTCAACATGAACCCATCATATTTTCTCGTAGCCGTGAACGCGGAAACAGCACATCAGCAAAATCCAAGCAAATATCAACATGGACATCGTCATCAACAAGGAAATGACAAAGCTTGGGTCTAGTGCAAATCAAACTCACCGCCGTCGTCTTCATCATCGCTGGAATCAGCGCCCTCCACGACCGTCTCATGTCCATCGCCCTCCTTCCCGCGCCCCCCAGGCTCATCGCTGCCGTTCTCCAAACCTTCTTCGTCCTCGCTACAGTCTTCATCGTTTGCGAAGGTGTACGGCTTGTCCAAACCCTCCAAGGTGATCCGATCATCGCCTGAGCCGTCCACAGTCATGGCCATCCCGCACTTTTCGAAAAGGCGGAATCGGAACGCCTGTTGGCTGTTGAGTCTTGCCACGGCCGCTCC